GCACACTCCCCACACAGCAAAAACTTCACCAACTCTGCTTGATTCATGTGTAATCTCGTTTTCTTGTAGTTTCTGTTACTCCTGTTTTCTCAGAATGTGTAATTTGTTGCAGTTACGAACAAAACGTAACGTAGCGTCGTCGTGTAATCGATTTTGCAGAGATCTGCTCTTTGATATATGTACGGGACTTGAATTGCTTCTAAATACCTATTTTACACACTTGCTAACCGACACAATTATGAAACATTTTCTAAACGACCACAATAACCACAATTACAGCAATTAAACTATTCAAATTTAGGTACATTATAAAATTGATTTACCAATGAAATTAAATTATTTACTAAAGAGCTTTTGTTTTCACAAATCAGGATTAGAAAATGATGCTACACCAAAATAATTTTCGTGCCTTTTTGTGGATTCGCAGTAACTATCCATTATCCCGAGATAAAAATGTTCTGTCTCTCAGAGTCTCTGAAAGCGAGACTCGAGCATCCGTCTCTCATCTAATCTCTCTGATGTCGCTGAGAGAGACTGTCAAAAAAACTGTTTAGCGTCTCTGAACGAGAGACTCGAATCGCTCATAGACAGATCCTCATTTCGTATCCATTCTCTGAACGAGAGACTCGAATCTCTGAACGAGAGACTCGAATCTCTGAACGAGAAACTCGAATCTCTGAACGCGAGACTCGAATCTCTGAACGAGAGACTCGAATCTCTGAACGAGAAACTCGAATCTCTCAATAAGTGATGTCTCGATAGACATGGTTAAAATTTTCTAAGTTCAACATATTCCAGAGATCCCAGTCTTTCTACGAGAGACTCGATTCTTTCAATTTTTCAGTTTTATTCATTCAGTCTCGCTGTGAGAGACTCGCATCTCTGAATTAACAATTTTATCGTTCGAGTCTCTCATACACAGACTGTGAGAGATCCATAAAAACACCTAGGCAATAATTGAGAGACTGTGAAAGACTGTGAGAGACGCTGAAGGACTCTGAGAGACTGGAGAGAGACTAAAAATTTTTGTCTAAGGATATTCCAATATAATTATTTATTGTAAGGAATCTGTCTGTTGGTTACGTACAATCGTTTCTAATCTTATCCGTATCAGTGCCTTATATCTTTGCAGATTAACGGAAGGAATAAGATAATTGTCCTACTGATATGGACTTTCTTTTACTGCTTTCTTAGTGTCGAACTGTCTGCCACGTTAGCAACGCCGAAGGGCTTAAGAACGCCCTTCTAATTTTCCTGACATAGCTCCAAGTGATTACCGACTGTCGGAAAAGACGAAAGAAGCTCAGGAAAAGCAGTTGAAAATTTACGACCTCTCGCCTCGTCTAATAACGCGCCTCCTACGATGACACGACGGCAAGGGCAACGCCACACGCGCTCTCTGTGACGTTGACTTTGACGCCCTCAAAATGACAACCCTTCAGAAACAAATGCGTTCGACGCATACAAATCCCGGCTTTTATTCAACCGCACAGTCTGAGATATTATGTAACTACTTGCATTTTTAATAGAATATCTTCGCAGAGTTACTATTACAGAAAATTCTAAAAGTTAATGATGGATATAGTATGTAACTAAATATGTAAAAGTACCAAAAATATATACCATATACGTATTTACCTACTAACGCACGATACTTTCTCTAATAATAACAAATCAGGTAAAATAAATGTGTCAGGATTTATAGGTAAATATTTAACAACGATTAATAAATCGTTACCCAGCTATTCTAAATATACCTACATAACAGAAGCGGGTATAATATTCAGTAATATTATAAATTTTATTCATTTAGATGACTATTACTATTACTTTGAATTTATAAAGGTTCCTCAAAGCTACTATTAATAGCGAATACCCGAGAAATGATGAAACAGTATTGGATTGAATTTCTGCATTATTTATGTTTACAGCCCTCTATTGTAACTAAGCTTTGTGCAGTGCAAATATGGAACAATTTTACCTTTCAATTTTTAGTTATGTTTACTCGTTGGAAATAATTTTATTGACAGGATCAATGGCATTGAAGTTCAGCAAATAATTATGAAATCAACTGCATATGTAATGATGATAATTCGAAATAGGAAACGTAATTCTCTTTCCGTTCGCATCAAAAGGATTACAATTTCGAATGGAAAGTTTAGTAGTTTTCGTTAACTGCTTATATCCTCGTCCAGGTCTTGCTTGATTAAAGCACGTAGAAGGTATACGTAACTGTGCAGAGTCGTGGCAATCGGCATGAATACTTACATCCCCTTCGGCTATTTCTACACTAAATCCCGTGTCACCACTACAACTTTCGTCTGCTGGGTCACGTTCTCCAGATATTGTTAAAGACGTTCCGTAACCTATTCCCGTTACTCCGAATTTTAAAAGACATTATTAGACGACTTAAATAATAGCGAGAAAAGCTTTCATCAATAGGGGATTTGCGCGGACGTGATACTTGCGCAAACATTCAAAATGTTTATTTAACACATGAACTTGTGCATTTATTTGAACGTAGTTACTACCATTTCCTTCCTTGATTGTCGAACTGGTGAACATTTACAATAGCAGTTGTTATATTCCGCTGAATTTATGAATGAATAACATGAAGTGAGGTATAGGTTATTTATGAATACGATTTTAATACAAATTTATTTTTTCAGACCAATGATGATCTAGTGTTTTCCAAACGAAGTACCTACTGAAAATTACCTGGTTCGGTTTTGATGAATAAGTACTCGAAGGAGGAATCAGCTGGTGAGTTTTTGATTAATTAGATTAAAAGTTTGCAAGATATTTAATATACTACGTTACCGTTTCGCTGAAAAGTGAAATTTCCATTAACTCGTGAGCCTTCACAATCTTCGGCTTAATGGTTGTTTTGTTTCCGGATAAAAAAAAGCAGAGCACTTAATAATAGCGAAAGGATACCGGCTAATTTAAGTGCCGTTCAAATGGAAGTTTAATCCTTTTTCAGTTGAGGCTGGCATTTTAAAAACAATTCTGAGTAATATCGTAATATAAAAGGTGTAAAAATAACCACGTCGGTTTACTTATTTGTTCTTTAGACAGGCCTTAAACTTTGTTTTGACTAACAGCATTAACTTATTTAGGACAATGATATAAAAACTTGGATAATTCGGGAGGATCGGTTTATTTTTTTGGTCAGTATGGGACGAAAGTTAGACATTTTCAAGATACTGCCTTTGAAATGTAATTAAAACTTTTGGGTATCCATAAAAAATCTGTGGGGTGCCATTGGCAGTTTATTTACTTACCCGATAAATTTGCAGAAATATTAATCGCATGGAAATGGGGATAAAGAAAAGCTCAATTGATTATGTACAGAAATTCAAAGCACATGCAATTTTAATGAAACGATAAATATAATACAAAGAAGAATACGTAAATACTTTTTTAAATGCTTCGTTTTAATTTAGTTTCAAAACAATTTGATGTATATACCTGGCGTATTTTTAAGTGCTAGTCTTTTTCTAAAAAAAATAGCAATCATGTCGAAAAGAAGATAAACAAATTGAATAAAAATAAATAAATAGTATCCTTTTACTCAATAAAAGCATCAAATTATTAAATTAGCTGCCACTTATTCAAAATTTGTTTTAAATATGTACAACCTAAACTCAAATATATTAAATAAGCAACGCATCCTTGTCAGTTCCCAATAGTGATCCCGAAATTGTTTTATTTCAAGTTAGAATAAGGACGCGTGCCTTTTTGAAGTCTACCCGTGTTTGCTTGTTTCTAGTTCGCGGAATCAAGGAAGAAACCGTTCCAACAAAGTTAATCTTATTCGCAGAAAAGCTTCGAACGCATTTTAGGGATTTGCAAAATTTCCTTTTTTCAGCAATAAATCCTTATTTCTATGTAAGCCCGTTTCATTTGAATTCACTGTAGATTACAGATTCAGTCTGCGCGTCCCTTTTTTTCGAAGGGAAAATAAATAGGCTTGCCGCTTGATCCTCAAGTTATACCTTTTTACCATATTTTAGAAATTGACCATTCGTATACGATAATAGCACACGTTCTTATGCAGTGCTATCTGATATTTAATACAGCTAACTATGAATTACATTTGTATTTACTGGAAAAGCAGAGGCTGCATACAGGGTTATAAAAGTTTAAGTTTTTCGAAAACCCAACCTACGTTTAGTCTCCTTTTTTTACAAGGAAGGCTGTCTTAGTTATACCTTTAAATCTAAAAGCTGGGATCGATAGAAGTGATTTAACGTAAAATATCGTGGGAGTGGAGAAATGCATCAATACATTTCTAAAGGTTGTTGAAGCAATGTCCACGGGAAAACCAGCAATCAGATTATGAGATGGTTTTAAGATCTAAATAACATACTACTAAAATATTTTCTTAATCGTTAAAAGTTCGGTTGAGGATAGTGCAGGTTATTCAGGACGTGTTACATTAAGCATTAACGAATTATTATTACCTAAACAATTGACATTGTAATTTTTGCTGTGTATATAAATTATAAGTAGTTTAATTGGAAAGACTTTCCAGAGAACCGACAAAACAAAATAATAGGTTTGTCATGGTTAATTTGTATCCTTAATTCTATAAGGCGGCGCTTTTAAATTTGCGTGTAAGTAAGATTAATATCGGCATTTATTGTTTGGAGGGATTAAATGGCATCGAGCGAATGTTTTAACTGCACTTACAATCTAGCCTAATTATTCATTCCCTTCAGAGAAATTCCGGCGTTTGTTGAGCGAATAAAATATTTCTTACTGTTAAATCCCCCCAGTTCCGGACAGGAAACCAATTACTCTACTTACTGTTCCCGTTGCTATGGAAATCAAAATTATTTTCGTTTTAAATTGGAAAGTTGGTCCGGAAGATTAAGGTTTTAAAAGCCAATTCTTAATTTGAAGTGGGTTTTAACAAATCATGTCATTTAATTTCCCGCTTTCAATATTTTTCTTTTGAAGTTTTGAAAAATACTTAAAAATATGAAACTGCTTACGTGTATGAGTGCGACAATCATAGCTAATCCTGTAACCCAGGCTGTCTTCTCTTCAAAGAACCACGTTAGTTCATCAACACATCCATGGAAAAAGGGATTACCGGTTACTGTGTCCCTGCATGTTGTTGGGAGAGGGTGCTGCAGACTGATGTAGTCATGAGGACCGTCTGCTCCGCAACAGCCAACCTTAAAATGAAAATAATGTTAGCGACCCAAAAATTAACGAAATTCAGATAGTTATTAATTTCAAACGTGCTGGTTCTAATTAAAATATTTCAGTTCTTCCAATTAATAACTTACTAATTCAAAATTCTACAAACAATAAAAATGACAAAAGAAGATCTGTGTACAGACAATTGAATTGTAAATTTTTTTATTGTACTTCCTGAATGAGTAAACCGACGATGAGAGTATGAGGCATGACCAGAATTTTTGTTATTATATAGGGATCTTGAACTTGCTCAATACCCTTTTATCTGAAGTGAAAGCCCTTTAGCATAATGGACTTTATAAAGGAACGTGAAGGATATGGAGATAGATAAGTGTACCTATACATCGCCCTTAAACTTTTGAGTGTTCAATAAAAATTAAAAGGGAAGAAAAAACTCGGAAACAGTAAGCGTTTTACTACCATCTGCGCCGTGCATTAACTACCGATAACATTCAAGAAAATGCTGAAACAGCCTGATAAAAATTGCCTCCCTAAATACTTACACAAGCAAGTCCTCTACGAATATTATTTGCCATTTTTAGGTACCTATATTTTTGTATGTGGTGGGTACCGTAGATACTATGCAATTATAAAATTTGGTAAGCCAATAGATTTTACTTGTAAGAACCTTAATATATATAAATATATGGAGTACTATAATAGCCAGTAAAAATGATAGATGGCGACGCACTACCAGTTACTTGATGTTTATGCTAAAAATAAATTTATACATATCCTTTATTTCATCGATTACCCGGACTCAACTATCAGATTGAGTATCTTTTTACGGTATCATACACATTTGTACAAAATAATTCTCTCGATCGAAGTATTCCGTTCTAAATTAGCTACAATATTGGAAACATAAAGTTGGAAGGTAAAGCAAATTGCTTTGTATTAGTCTTCCAACCGAACTGAATAAACTGTCTGTATCATTGGAAATCCTTTTCTAAGCTCCTTACGCCAGTTTCAGAACTGTAGGTATAATAAAAAGTTGCCATGCCGTAAAACTTGCTGTGGGTCGTCAGAAAAGTTCGGATGGCGCCACCGTCAAAGACGGCTTTTTCATTCGAGACAGGAATATGTAGCATTTCATGTCATTTGACGCGGAATATTGCGACCCGCAGGATACGGTATTATTCCCATAATACCTTTCATGCACCTAACGAAAATATAACTTTACAGTTTGACAAACAAATAATGGTCGCCAGATTTGATAGCACTAATAACGATGGTTCGAACGCTAATAAGAATGCATAAAAATTTTAATGAAGAACTTATGTAAAAGCTAATTAGTCAAATTTTTATCACACAATTTTTAATTTTATTAATACTAATTATGNAAATAAAAGTAAAACTAAAATACTGGTATGCAAGGGAAGAAAAAGTAGGGAAAGAGCGAATATAAAGATTTGAGATGAAAAATTAGAAGAAGTGGCTGATTTTAGATACCTAGGAAGTCAGATAAGTCAGGATGGAAGGAGTACTAGGGATATAAACCAGAGGATAGCGCAGGGTTGTGTCGCCTTTAATAAAAAGAAGTCACTTCTATGCTCGCGAACAGTTAATTTAGAAATTCGAAAAAGGTTGTTAAAGGTGTATGTTTGGAGTGCGGCATTGTACGGGTGCGAAATATGGACAGTGGGCGCGGCGGAAAAGAAAAGGTTAGAAGCGTTTGAAATGTGGTGTTATAGGCGAATGATGAGGATAACGTTGGTAGAAAAGGTTAGAAATGAGAAGGTGTTAGAAAGAATAGGTGAACAGAGGACTCTATGGAAGTCAATACAAAATAGGCGAGATAGGTTAGTAGGACACCTTCTCAGACATGAAGGTCTAGTCAGAGACATTAGAGGCAGAAACAGGAGTTAGGAGGGGTAGAGGTAGACCTAGATTAGATTACTGTTCGCAAATAGTTAAGGATGTGGGTTGTTCTGGTTTTGGGGAAATGCGAAGTTTAGCTCAGGATAGGAAAGAGTGGAGGTACGTATCCAACCAGTCTTTGGACTGACGAACTTTATGATGATGATGAATTAATGAATCTGTTTCAATATGTTCGAAATTACAATCCACACCTTGTAGATTATTTGAGAATTGTTATTCTGGTTTCTATTTCGCGACACACAAAAATAATAATTGTCGCAGGTCTTATAATAAAAATAGAGGGCCTATAAAGACAAGCAGTTTATTTATATAAGGCATGTTGACTATTATGTGCAATGAAAATAGTATCATTCTGTCTAGGTGTGGCAGATTTTATGCTGTAACGTATCTTACGTGTGTGTCTGTAATGCATAGTAATCTGTATGCGACCTATTTGTTGGCGGGCATCTATCATATTATAAAAAATAACATTTCGGAAAGCAAACACATATTTCTCGATATGACGCGGTCGCAGTCAGGAGAAAGCTGAAAGTAAATATTGGTTTCTGCCGGATATTGTGACAGAAAAATCGAGTTCGTTTTTCCATATACTAAAGGGAATTCTAAGTTTGAGATTTACGAACGAAATATCGACATATTATTAAAATATATATATATGTGTACGCATGGTCCAGGAAATTGCCTGGTTTTTTACCACTTTTCAATATCCGTCGTATGCATGCGACTCCTTTTTAACACAGACTCTGTTCGACTAAATTTTTAATTTAAATTCTGTACAATTCATTAATCACGAATCGGGGTAAGGTATAATAGCTATTATTTGTGTTCCCATTTTACAACCCCCACTTGAAATCCCAAACCAACAATAACTGGTGCAAGAAATATAATCTAGTCAATATTGACACAATAAACCTTCGTCCTTTTTATTTCAAGAGAACCTACTTATTTCACTATATAAATACCCTTTCGTATTTCTGGAAAAAACAGAATTATATTTCTTGTTTACTAAAAGCTGGAAGAATAAAGTTTCCGCCTTCTATATTTACATCGTTAACGACATTTTCTAAAATTACAAAAGCTGCTAATTATGTACTCACGTTTTCCTGAATCATGGCAAGGGTATATTGAGCCTTATCGTAATGAGAATTAATTATAAGTCTCCTCATGCTTTCCCTAATAAGTGGCTGCATGGCTGAATTCCGGGTACTGTATTCTAACAGTACGGCTGATCCCACTATAGCCACAACAAATCCCAGTGCCTGGGTCACAATATACTGAAAAAAAGAATATAACAAAATTAGAATAAATATCTACATAAATTTAGAATTGGTATTAGGTAAATAAATAAGAGACGAAACGACAGAAGTGTCTGGGAAGTTAGATAACTCTAGATGGAAAAAGTCCTAGAGATATGAAACAAAGGAAAGCGGAATGAAACAATTTAATAAAATGGACTTCTAAGGGAATTTTATTTTCACGATAATATGAAGTCATAAAGCGAATACGACGGTTAACGTATGTACTTATATAAGACTGGAAAGACAGGGGTAAGAATGTGCAAGTTTGCTAGACATCTGCTTCAACGATTAATGTAGCGACAATTCCGAATTAATATATTCGAGCAGTGTCCATGGAAGAAAGCAATTTATCACGTCTGCTTTCCATTCCACCAGTAACCACAAGATTGGAAGCAACGCCAAGCGCGCCAGAGCAGAACATAGGAGAACTCTGCCTCGACTAAAAGAATATCACGATTAAATGGAATGCACTGTTTACGAGAACCTTATTTACATGTTCACCAACACAAATTAATTAATTAATATAATTTAAATACGTAATTGTTTAAATAAAATGCGAAATGATCATGTTTTTCAAATCTTTCTACATCGTCATTTCAAGTTCGCGGTGAAATTTTAAGTATTTTCTATTATTTTGTTTTTCGAGGCAAAATTCTTTCTGGTTGATTCTTTTGCATTGCAAAAAATCATGCTCTGGGAATCTCCGGTTCTCGTAACTTAAGCTCTGGAGACTATTATATTCCCTTTTAAGTTTTCGAGGGGAGCTTCTGTGTGTTCCGGCAAATGCACTAACTGATGTAATTCTCTTCTTATTTCCGCGGTTCGCTAGCAAGATGTGCAATTATGCTTAAGGGTGCATTCGTACAGAACCTTAACGACTGACTACCATCATTCGACATAATTTATTTTATGTTCGCTCGTCTAACGACGACGAATCGCGTTCCAGTGAGTCTCATCAACACAGTGATTTCGTTAACAGTATCTCCTAAAATTTTTTATTTAAACATTAGGGTAAAGATAAGGACAGATAAATTCCGCTCTTTCGACTACTCCATCGCAGTCGGAAGAAGGCTTGCAGTAACATTGTTGAGTTGTTTGTGCAATGTCGAATCATTTATTCTTGTTTAAATGTATGTATCGATCGGCTAAAAGCCGAAAATATTGCAATGTGGCAGCGTTCATTCATTCTTTTAAAGAGTGAGTCATTTGATATGAGAATTGCGTGCCAAAATGGCGCTGATAAATTTAGCCTTGAGGAAATATCACCTTCTCTTAACGTAATTGGGAACCGGTGTTCAAATATGGAGATATGCCGTCAAGATCCGTGATATCCCTAAAAAATACATCACCGTCGCGCCCATTTTGAAGCCTTCGTGCACGAAACGTTTTGACCCATTTCCTTTGCGAAGACAATATCTCCAAAGCTTTTTCTAAATTACCCCAGATTTATAACAGAGTCAATAAGAACAAAAAAAAATTAGATATTAAGTTCTTCAAGGCACGCAATCAATACCTTGTAGAGTAATTTGTTGCTGATGGATAAGTAGCTTTAATTTTGTCCATACTTAAATTACTTTTTATCTTGAAGAATGCCAAGTACTAACATTAGATAAGATAGAACAAAATAAACGATTAGATCGAAACGTTTTATGAGCCCACGTTGTTTAGCAGTTTCCATTGAAGATGTCGACTGTAGAAGTCGACGAAACATTTATTTCAGAGCTAATCGTTATTTATTTCGATCCCAACCCATAAATCGACCCAAATCGTAGTCCTATACAAACCGGACTCGCTTCGCTCAGGTAAAATTAGTAATCATTCGAGAACGTTCTCGAACCTTCTATAATATTCTAGAACAATTTCGAACTCTGAAGATACAGGGCATTGAGGAAACATCCATAACATTTTGTAACATTCTGACAAGAACATCTTTTCTGACTCTGTATATGTAGTCCTTTGGAGCGATAGTCTTTTAATCCCCATCATAGTTTTGAAACCAACCCCTATAGCTGAAACCAGAAACCTTCTTCGTGGACGGGGATGAAAGGCTATATCATATGATATAACCCTCATGAGGTTGTGTAGCTTTAGCAGAACGTACGGACAAGTACGCTTACTTTTATTATATAATATATTGATTATAGCACAAAAAGTGTTGTAAAAACACGTTAAAGGCGTACCATTTGCTGAAACAGCCCTTAAAGTAGACGCTCAATTTCACCATTTGATTAACATATCTGCATGCAAATTAACCGAGAGAAAATCTATTTATCGCAGCAAGCAGATCGATAGCTGTTTTAAATTCCGTGCACCGTGGATAATCTATGTTCACGGACTGACATTAATTTTACATCCATGTTCGTACGGGGATTCTTTTAATAATAAGACTACTCTGCGTCAAATCCTGGACGGAATTTATGTAAATCAACATCCTTTCCGTTCCACTAGTCCCCTTCCTTCTATTTCCTTTCCTAAAGCAAATCGAACTCATGGCCATTTGAGCGTGATTGGATATTTTGGCGGAACATCAAAGCAATGCCCGTACGTACAAATCAAAGCAATTTTGTTTTCCAATGCTTTATCCGGATTACTTTCTACGAATATTAAACTGCTGAATCGATTGCTTTTGATCATCACCCAAAGATATCCGAGTAAACAATCGAAAGCAAGTGACAACATTAACGAAATCGTTATGAAACTACGTGCTTTGAATGTAAACGTCTAACATATACTTAGCACATGCATATCATACTTTCTTATAAAGTCTAATCGAATTTCAAACGACAGCAAAACCGAGCAAAGTTCTAAGCATGTAAAGCTAGCAATTTGATCACCACCGTGGTATTTCTAAAACAAATACTTGATGCATTTAACAATTTAAACAGATGAGAATCTAGATACGTAGAAGTGAAATTTAAAGTGTAGCAGAATTTTGTTTCTTGTAACTTTTTAGCAAGTAGTCAAAATTTTAACGACTAAGAAGTGTATGTAATCTACTTTTAAAATGGCTAATAAGTGTTTCCAGTTTCCGCCAGTTAACAACTCGTAGCAAGGGGAAGTTTTATCATTTACTTTACGCTAAAAGCCTTTAAAAGCACGTAGTGAACTTAATTATTTTAGTGACAGTGTGCCAAGAGTAGGTATTTACATGATGTTCCGCATCCGTAGAAGTTGTGCCTTTCACTAAATAGATTACACGAATGGGTCAACAACAGGATGTAAAGTAACCTCTCTCTTTGTTATTTATACAGGCTGCCCTAAATCGTATAATCTCTATACTATGTGACGGAGAATAAAGGTTCATGTGGAAAAGCTCTGTCTTACTTTATAATGTAACGCTTATTTTACACAACTTCGATCAGGGTCTCCCCACTTGAAATTTAAGTGTATCTATTTATTTCGGGGTTTGCCGAAAAGCATTCGTCATTACCGAACCTTTGACTATAATATCTGCACAGATCTGAGGTCTATGTATGCTTTACTACTACTTTGCGAAGCTTCAACCGAAGTTCAATAGGATTTCAACTAACCAAGCAACAGGCTCGCAAAAATGGGAATCTGGTTTTACAACACTGATTAAAATGGAAACATTTTAAAACAATGAATTGATCAAAATTACCAACTAGCTGAAGTAAAAACAACAGTATGCTATTTTTTGAGGGTCTTAAAATGTTTGTCTCCTTTACGGTCTATAGCGGAATTCACTTATTTTTCTCTTCTACATTGTTATTATTTTAAAAAAACTGTCATTACCGTGATGTAATTGTTATCATAGGTTCATCCTATTAAGTTCAGATATGCTTTACTAACAAATATATATTGACGTCGTCCTTTATCGACTACCTGTCAAATTTATTGTGGAGGAACCGAAATGAAGCAGTTCGAAGCAATGTTTGGTTCGATAAGAGACTGTATCGAGCTATTAAAGTAATGGACTAACGTCAACTGTAACGTTCCGCCCCTGGCTATCCAACGCCCCTCGACCACCCCTTGTTCTCTGCAAGGGATCGGATGCGGAAGGTTCCGAATCTCACCAAGGCGTCGATCAAGCGGAAAATAATACCAGTTCGACCGAGGGAATCGAGCCAGTAATGGAAGATCTAATGGGACTGACCGGGATCACAAGGATTCTAACCTTGTCCGCTCGAGGAAAAGGGATAATACATAACTCTGTTCACAATCGAGGCGATTCGGTTGCAGCTTTGACATTATAAAACTGATAAAATGTACTTTGTAAGATAGCAGGATCGCAGGATCCCCTTTCAGCTTCGTCTCCATTATTTTTACACGCACTGTTAAGTCACAAAATTAATTTATCCCAACAAGATACCGAAATCGGCAGGTTTTATCAAGGACTAGTTTTATTATATTCAATTTGAATTAATGTTTGCAGTGTTAGTCCTATTTACTTAAACAATATTAATTGATTCATTGTTGTAATTTTTAAATAAATTGTAGGAACATATTTGAAATCAGGAACCTATAACGGAAAATTGATCAAATTAAAACTAAATTTTTAACCGTTTTCAGATAACATAAATATGGAATAGTCGCGTTAATACCTTCAAAATATATAAGTGATACAAACACTAAAAGTAATTATAATATAATTTGTTGAAAATTACGTTTATATTTAAATAGAAATTTTATATTTTGCTTAAAATTCCCCAATAGCGCCATAACTGCGGCAATTCTTTAACAGCTTAGCATTAAAAAAAGTCAGATTTTTTAGACTGATGTGATTTATATCGCATTAAGCAGAGACCATTCGCAAACGCTTCCCGCTGTTATTTGCCGAGGACGTGAACGAAAATTTAAGGCTGCACATAAAAAAGTTGTAACGACTGCAAACTAAATTTTGTCGGTCTGATGAATATTTTTCAGACGTGCTTTACCGCAAAATTTATTATTATAGCCACGTTTAGCAATGCTCGCCCTTTATCTATATAGCTTTAGGGATGTTTCTTTAAAAATGTCGCCGGAGATAAGCACATTTCTTAATTAAAACAAGTGGCAAACGGCTAGCGTGCATTTACGGTAATTTTATTTCTGCCACTTTTATATTGCGAACCGGAGAAAAATGCTTCCCATTCAGTCGGTATAAAGTCTGGCGGAAGCGATAATTCAAACTTTTACTGGAATCGTCTATCAGTTTAGCGCAAACCGAAACTTTAACTAACTTTTGCGAAGTGCCTGATTTATGAAGATTAATAAGTAATCTTTCATCACGATTCACAGGAGTCAGATTGTACGGTTGATTGGTTTGAAAAATAAGCATGGCGTTTACTTCCTGCCTAAAAAAATATTTCAAGAAATTACAAATTGATAACACTGTGCATGTTTCGCATTCGTACAGCGCCGTGCTCCAAACATACACCCTTGACAATTTTTTTCGAATTTCTAAATTAATCATTCGCGAGCATAGAAGTGACTTCTTTTTATTGAAGGCGACTGAACTCTGGGCTATCCTCTGTATATCTATTGTATTGTCTTTAATGATATTTATCGCGTCTTCGACATATATAGATTAAAAAGAAGCGGCGATAGTGTGCATCCCTGCCTGACTCCCTTCCTAATATTTACTTCTATACATTGCTCTATAACTGCCTGTTGCTCTTTCTACAAACTATCACTCTTCTATCTCTGTAACTCATCCCTACATTTATTTGTATATTTAACATCTTCTTCCATTTATCATTGTCAAAAGCTTTTTTTAAAACTACAAATCCTATGTACGCGCTCTTTCCTTTATCTTTTTCTCTATTGTTACCCGTAAAACTAGACTGACCTCTCGCGTTTCCCTATTTCTTCTGAATCGAAATTGATCTTCCTCTAACAGTTCTTCCGCCCCTTTCCCATCCTTCTCTGTACAATTATAGTTAAGGTTTTTGACGCATGACATATGGCTAGTACCACGTACCGTTTATAATCCTCCGGGACTTTCCCCGTCTCGTAAATGTGACTAACTAGCTTAAACATACGACCTCTAACCTCTTGTTCGGCATGTTTTAAAAATTTCCGCTTGTATCCCATCTATGCCTGGTGCCTTATTATTGTTTAAGTTTTTTAATGCTACATCGAACTCTTCTCTCATTATGGGATAGCCTAGTTCACCTATCTTCAGATTATCTTCCTTCTCTAATATACCTCCTGACTCATGGCCTGTGTAGGTTACATACCTACATATAAACCGAAATAATAATAGTCATATTCGGCATAGGTCTAGTTTGCTCAAAAAGGTCGTTATCTGCTAATTTATTTCGGCATGCGTCGGAATTCGGCATGCGTCGGAATTCGGCATGTTTTATCCACGATCCTTTCAAAATACCTTAAAATATATATGCAACTAACAGTTGGCTCGGTGAACTTTAATGTGAAGTTTTTATGGGGATTGCTTTAAAAGTTGAGCGAGAAGTTGATCTGAGGATTGAATGGACTATCGAACTGAGAAACTAATTTACTACTAGCTGGAATCGAACGTATATCTCCCTTTGATGTCGAAATCCTTTGACAAAGCTACTGTAATTAAAAGATTAAAGGATTTTTTTAAGTGATCCTTTGCTTTAATTCGGACGCAACGAAACAACATCAGTTGTCAGGCACGTGCAATTTTCCAATTGTATTTGAAATAATGACAAAATATACCAGTTATTATCATACCTATATGCATTGCAGAAATAATCAATGTTCACAACTTCCTGAGCTTGAGTTTATATTTTAGCTTAAGCTTCATTAAAATATACATATATTTACTTTTCTGCCGCAATATTTACGAATAAGATTAGAAATATAGTAAAATCTACATAGTTATGCGTTTTCCTTATCTTAAATAACCTAATTCCTTGCTTTGCTTTATCCATTCCGTTTCCTAATAGGTACCATTTGTAAAAACTTTCTCATGGCCCTGATTCTCTATTCGTTTAAAAGTTCAAAAGAAGTTCAATACAGCAAAGTTTTAGAGAATAAGCGGCGCCCAAATTTTCATGTTTTGGACTCTGTAATAACTAACTAGACAAGTCAATGGATCGAGAAAAAACGATCGTATTGGTGAACTGCAGCGATACGGAGACGTCGTGTAAACGGTGCCTCTATTCTTATCCTACCAAAATCGAACTTATTCGTGGCAGGAACAAACACCGAAGCCATTTACAATCCTGATAAGAAGTTGGCATAGATATTCGGTTACTTGGCTACGTTTACATTTGTTTTCTCTACGATCGCTGCTAAGAAAATCCAATTCAAGTTCTTTTTGGTTCTAAAACAATTTCATTAAAATTCAAAAGTCGGTAGTAGATTACAATTTCATTTAGAAATCCATATACGAATGAATTATATCACCCCTTTCCTATTTACTTTCGTCTCAATTTACTACTCCGTTGTTGGGAAATTATTATGTACTGTCGCACTTATTTAGAATTGGTAAAAATTGACTAATTTACATTGGAGACTTTGTAGGAGGTCGGTTTGGTTGACGTTGCTTAATATTATATTTACTTTAAGGCGTACAAACCTTATTAAGTTTGTAATAAATAAGTATCAGTAGATTCAGTTTGTAAAACTTTTTACCAAATACCATAAAATACTACTACAGTCAGTATCAATGTCTATATATTGAAAGCGATACTCTGCCACTTACTTGAAATAGTATCTACACATTTTTTTGGGTAACTTCAGACTTGGTAAAATAAGATATCAGTATTTTAATGTTAAATACAACAAACTTACCACAAAAAGTGTCAAAGAGTTTTCTTGAAGTGCACTTAGGCATCCGATGAAAGCAACGACCATCATGATAATAGCTCCAAGGATCAATATATAGAGGCCGATGTAAAAGACTTGTAAATCCAATTCTGTTACCCATTCTCCTATTCCTGGTTCAAAACGTAACCAACAGCAGAGGGCAAAAATAGATGCACCAATCATCTAAAAGTACAAAAGAAATTAGTGGAAAGAGATTAATACAATCATACTAAATCTCATGAACTTCGACATTGAGTTGCGTTTGTTTGTTTAAATTTTGTTTTGTCTTTATTACCACAATAACTTGTTATGTGGGTAGTTTGTATATTATGATAATGAAAATGCCCACTGGTTAAAGCTTAAATTCATTTATTTATGGCATGTGTGGGGAGTGCGCCGCTAGTAAGTTTTCAGGGGGTTTCGTCGTGCGTGCCAGTGCATTAACACGCAATTTAAAAGGGATTTTGCCAGGAACGTTTTTCTTTTCGTGCATCAAATGGCGCGGAAACATCGATCGATACAACATACGTGATCTTTGTAGGCCTACTCTTTGTTCAAACTGTGTTTCAAACTTTCAAAAAAAAAAAAAGAAACAAAAGCCTTGGGAAACATCTAAACCGTTTAGGAAATACCCACTTTGTAGCTAACAGTTGGAACATAAAACTTTTGCGAACAACCCGAAGCAAAAGAAAGTAAAATAACTTCTACTTAAAGATTTCCTAAATTTAATTTTACTTTAGTAAAACGAGAGCAATCCCGAGATACTTATAGCAAGCAGGAGATATTTTGTAAATCTTCATGTCTAATTAAATTAAGGTGTGGTAAATCCAAATATCAAAACAATAATGGTGGAATCAAGCAAATGAAAATGCCTTAAAATAATCAACAGAGAGCTAGAGATTTAAATCAGTAATTATTCAATTTTTCCCAGTGCTGAAAATTAGAAAACTTTTTCATTGTAATATTAGGCAAAAAATATATGCTAATTTCAATTCTATTTTACACAATATATTTCTAAATATGTACAAATAAAATTGAAAACCCTCTTTCTTTTAAGTTGGTCCGAACATAAAGCGTCATTATTAAAACGTCAAACTTGAAATATCCGGTTTGGTTTAGCAACCACCTCTGTTATGTAATATTATGGAAATTGGCAGGTTTATTATCGCTACACAAAGCTTCGAATAATTTCGTTTCTCTTTTGTATGTATTTATATATTGAAATATATTCAGAAATTTTCATTAGAACTGCTTGCGCAGCAAAAATGTTGAGCTTTGTTTTTAGAGATCTATAAAGGCAACAAACTGTAATTTCTAGAATTATATCAATCAAGACCGACTGTGATTACTATAAAATATGATACGAATTGGTTAAATTTTTCATAAATTTCACATATTTCATTTTTACTTTAAATTTCGTTGAAGGTAATATCAAAAATTTCTGCATCGATGTCAAAAACGACTTCACTGTTCGATAGATATATTTATTTTCCCTTTAGGATTCAGAGTATTATTATAGGTATTATTATAGGTAATTATAAAGGAAATTATTTATTATTCTGTACAGAAAGAACCCAAATTATACGAAAATTGAAAATAGAAGTGTGGATATCTATCGCTATTTGTTTACAGAACACGAGCATGCGATAATAATGTTTTACAGGGTCTACTGCCGCAGCGGTAATGATACGCCTTGGGTATTTATCGATCATTTTTATATCCTTTATTATCACGTATATTCCTTGGGGGATTCCCACCGGAAGAAGCTGCATACAAATTAGCAAAAGTTGGAAATATTTGGTGCGACTTGAACAGCGAGGGAAATATCACTGTCAAAGTAGGCGAATTCAGTTTCTTCGGTCCTGATTAGATTGCCAGACCTTTTCTTTGAAAGGAAATATAATATTGTATTATGTCAGCTTTTCATTACCTTTGGCTTTCGTGGAATAGGAAAAAAACCAGGAAATTTTGTGTAGGTGTTATGATGATCAAATATGTTAAACGTAAATAAGTACATGTAAGTTGTCAGTAATTAAGGAATAAGTTGTGCTATTTGGCAACACGTTATGGTAACATTATGAACTCATTAGTACAAGCTGATATATTTGTTGGTAGCAACATTTTGCGTTTGAAAGTTTAATTTTCTGAATAATCATGTCATTCTTCAGGGGCTGTAGTATGTAGCTGGAACTGATAATGAGAAAATGGCAACACCGTTTGCAAACCAATTACTGCCAGTAATTACACTGGCTCTAACAATTTCACGTGAATACGGGAAAGTTTCCAAATAACAACTTAACATATCCGTTGGAGAGGAAATTCCCAACTTCAGAACATACCGCGAGAGGGAAATTCAATTTAATTTAACCTTTCCAATATTCCTTGTTTCTCTGCAAATACACAGATGTACATTTACTTAATGCGCACAGGTAGCTGTCCTTATTGCATTCCGCAGGATATTCCTTTAAATAAGGATGCAACGCTCAACTTCTTGCCTTTATACGAACATGTCTTTACCTAACATATATATAATAATTGTTTTTATTTAATTTGTATGGGTATAATTTTGGAGTTTTTATTGTAATATTAGCTCATCCTATACTAAAGCTAAATTGAGTTCAGCTTTTGTGTTTGAATTTAATTTGAGAACAAGATACTTGCCCCATTAAGTGTAGTGGTGGTTCCGCCTTGCCTAAGGCAACAACAGCAAGTTTGTGCACTCTATAGTCTTGGCGAAACTTTGTGTAAGATAAAAACAAGATAATACCAAATGCTGTTGCTGTTTTAATGAATCGATTATGGGCAAGTAATCACAGAGGAGATTGTGAACATTTACGAAGGAAAACATGGCAGTTTACTGCAAAATCGATCTAAAAAGTTAAGGTATTGCATTGACATCCTCAAGGAACGCAGTGATGGGTAATGTCCTTCATCAGGTTTCGTTGGCTGTTTTGCATCTTTTATCATAAAACTTTTTTAATCAAATATCTCCCAGGATTTAGTATAAACATATCTAATAATGTTACTAATTACTAATTTGTTTTTGGAAAATTAAATTTACTACAAAAAAGCAGGTTTTTGATCATTCGTGTGACTTACTGTTTTCCTTCTCTTATCATAATGGATAAAGGTATAATTTATAAATGGGAGTAACAATGCAATAAGTAACTTTTAGTGTCTATGTTTCTTGTCAAACAAAATAAAATTAAAACTCGTATTTTAATTGGCAGTAACCGATCGTAATTAAGAAAATGGCGCACTTAATCGTAATGTAAAGTCGTTACATCTATCAGAGCGACTTTTATTGAAGCCGCAACACGATCCCGTGTCGGATTAGATTTATTCTATCCTAAATACTAAGTATATCTCACCCGTTGACTCAAAAGACATTTAAGATATATTTCATGGCAATTCTCAAAGCTAGCAATTCATTCATATACCTACAGTAAATGTTAATCTAAGTAATTAAGGATCAGAATTGATCCGCCGACGCAGGCATACGTTTATAACAATATGTTCGTTCTGGTGTTCTGGTTTATTTATTATATATAATTTTATGACACCAAATTCAACAATCAGACAAGCAAAAAAGACGCCATATCGAACTGGGCCTAAAGCGCAGTCGAACCTATACATATATCCATCACTGATTCCCGAGCTTTCATAATTCTACATAAATCCTTCAAATTTCGTGTTACCCTTGGCGCTTTATTATCAATTCATGTCTTACATCGTTGTACAAATTCCTGTCTTCGTCATCTGCATAACTGAATTCTATTACGTGTTCAACAATTTTCCTTTATATTTCTAATTTGCATGTAATGAGTTCCTCGAGACACGTTATGTATTTAGTTTTAGCTGTTTCGATCAACGCAGGCTTAATAACTGAAACTAACTTTATTGAACATGTCTAAGTGTGACAACACACAAAATGTTTATAACTTTGTAGGTCAATAGTATTGTGTCACGTAAAAACTACAGGCCTAATTTGGATGGAGCTTTTAGGAACACTTTAAAATTGTCGCGATGTTTAGGAATATGTGCCAGTATTAATACGAAGTTGAATAGAAACTGTTACTAACTTGTATCATAAGGTAAATAAATTGGTGTATGTTAGACGCACTTGTAATTCTAAAGACTTTTTCTCTGATAGCTAAAATGTGGCACGAATTTATATAGTAACTTTTATAATTTATTTAAATAGGTCATGTATATCTGTGATTTTTGTGTGTATACCCGACGTAATTTTTTTCACGATCAAAAGTAAATTCCATTCTTATCGCATAAATAAAAAGTTCATTTCACCTTGACATTTTCAATTTAGAGTGAAATGAATCATAGCTTTCAGGACGAAGCTTTTCTTTAGAAAATGACTTCTCAATCTCCAGATCCCTACTCGCATAATTATAAGTTCCACAATTTCATTCCCCAATAGCGGCACGTTTATTATGTAGACTTATTATTGAACAGATCGGAGGCAAAAGCTATAACATCGACTCTCTAAACTTTTTGTCATTCCTGATTTTGCTGTCTTATATAATAATCCCGAAAGATTTTTGTGGCAGCTAAATATTAAAGTCCGTTATTTAACCGAACGCGAACGGCTCGATTTGAAGGGTCCAATGAAAATTTTTCATTTCTGAGGTAACAGATGTGAACGGGAAATTAGATGAAAATTGCTATGTTAGGAAAAGGAAAAGGTCGATTCAGCCAAAAGTAATCCGAAGTCTTTAATTTTCATTTGCAAATATAAGCCTCGAATTTGTGCGAAATTAGAAATTGAAAAATGAAATAATACCGCATATATTCATAACAGTTTCCCTTTTATTACAATAAAATGATAATTTATACATATTTCTTGATGAAGCTTATATCATGGCTGCAACTTAATTATGTAGTAGCAAAGCTTTCGGGAAAAACATAAAACCATTAGGAATAGTCCACTCTACTATCGAGATCGCTTCAATTATTCCTGCGATCGTTGTTGAACATACTAATTTTGTCTCGGATAGTTGTCTAATCTAACACACCTGAACATAATGATAGGACTGATTGTCACAGTTCATTAGCTAGAAGCGGCCAGCTGCGAGCTAAATAGCTTAATCAAATGGGACGTCATAAGCTCCTTGCTTCTGTGCGAAAACGTAAATTCATCGGTGTTAACGTTTACAATTAGTTTCAGTTCTAATTTAGAATGTAGATACAT